GGGAAAGGGCATTGCTGTGAAAATTAGAACAAAGCGCACATTGACTGGCACATTATTTTTGAATATTTGAAAAAAATTATTTGTTTTAATTCACAAAAACTAATAAGTATCACCAGAAAAAGATAACAAGTCAGATTTACAATTGAACAGTAAGTACTTCATCTGTGAAGGTAAGCGTAATAAGAATATCTGTGAAAGAGCTAAATTACTGGCATAAAAAAAAGAAAACAGTACTCTCTAGGGCTGGAGAAAACTTGTAGTTCTTGCTCCTGAAGAGCTGATGTTGATATCTATTAATAGTACAAGAACCTGGCAGCAAATGGGATCTTGGTGTATCTGTGTATGCTCTTTTCTGATTAAAGGGTCGAGAAATACGTCAAATAGTCATTTCCGGAATTGAAGCTTTTCTTGTCATGTTTTGGGAAAATTTAACATCTATTAATCAAGTTTTGCAGATTCATCTTTCACAAATGATTTTTGTGTCTATGTTGTTCTTCAATTATATACTACAGAATAAATTGCCCAAACAGACACCTTGGCATTTTACATTTTAGACATGATTGTTCAATTGTCCATGACATTTCATGTATCAGAATTTACATTTCTTGGAAAAAAGAAGCTACATTTAATGAAACAAGTAAAATAAGGTATGTGCACAACTTGGATGAATCTTTCTTTTGATTTAGAACAGCATTTTATCCATTGTAATTATGGAAAAAGATATGCAGCTTTTTATTAGTGAACGGAAGAATTCATTCTCCTTCTAAATTGAAAATCAGACTGCATTGCCTCTAATGAAAATTACGAGGAAGGGTTTGAATAGATTTATGTGAAGCCTTCTATTTGTCTGAAGCATTTCCATATTTCACATTTTGTATTAATTGAGGAAGCCTATCTGGGCAGATTAGTTTTAAATGGTTGGCAGTTGCTTTTAAGGGATGCTGACTGGCTGCCTAGAAAAGTAAGGTTTAAATATGCATTTGTACTGAAATTTTCAGATCTAATCACTCATGTTGGCTAATTCTATGACTGTACAGTAGTCAATTGTGTTGAGTAATGTAGTCCCCTCTATTTGGCTAAAAGTAATGACATCTAGTTATTCAAGTTGACTAAAGTAGTAGCATTTATAGACTGCTCAAGTTGGCTAAAGTAGGAACATCTAGTCACTCAGGTTGGCTAATGCTATGACTATAGTCAGTGCAGGGGCGGATCCAGAGATATTTTCTGACAGTCTTCCATATTATATTTATTGATCCATCCTCCATTTTTTGACCGTCTTCCGACAGAAAAAAATAGATAACTGTCAATGTAAACTTGAAAATCTGACCGTCTTCTGGAAGACCCAGAAGACGGCCTAAATCCGCCCCTGCAGTGGTGACTAACGTAGGAACATATTTAGTCCCCTCAAGTTGGCCAGGTTGGAACTTAAACTCATTCGGGTTGGCTAAAATAGGAACATTTAGGGTCTATTCCCACAACTTTAGATCGATCTATCACCGCGGGGAGTCTCACCAGACTACCGTCAGATAATCCCCCTTAAGTGTCCGTCCCCGCCCACTACAAGCCGTAAGGGGCAATTAACTTTCGTGTCCGCCCGGCTGACAGCTATTCAGCGCGAACCCCCAGGGTGTTAGGTCGATCCAAAGTAGGTCGATCTAATCTATGGAAATGGGGTGTTAGCCTTCAGGCTAGCAAAATGATAGCTAATTTGTTAAAAAAAATTAACCACACGAGCTGGTTCAAGTAGTAAAATCTTGCAATTCAGATTGGGTAACCCCCTTCCCTCTCTCTCTTCCTTTCTCTCTCTCTCCCTCTCTGTTCACAGTGGTGATGACTATATTACACATATGAGTTGGATCAATGGAAAAGAGACAGCTCAACAGAAGATAATGGGTATCTTTTTTTCCCCAGTGTGCGAGCATGCGGCATATAAAAGGTTTCAAGGTTTATCTTATATGGCTTCTTGCTTTGTGACCTTTAGGGAACTAGAGAAATAGGGTAATGTGATAAGAAAGATGGCTAAAGACCCGTACATTTTGAAATCTCTCCTCATAACACACATGTTCCTGTCTACCTATTTATTATTGCTCAATAATTCTAGTGTATTTTAGGTAGTTTGTTTAAAAATTAAAAGTTATAATAATAGTTTCTTCAAACTGCAGCTAAATTTAGAGGTAGAAAACATCTTGGGAAAAATGAAAATATTGGAATCCAAGTAACTCTGAATTTAGCCTTTGTTTGAATAATCTATTATTCTAACTTTAAGTGCATTGCACAGCTGATGAAAATCTCTCTTGGTTTTCTTCCAGAATTGCCTGACTTAGGCTGTTGAGACCTTTTCATTTTGTCTGTTTTCTAACACCACTTAGCGCTATTTTGAGTTGATCTGGATTATTTGCAGCCTTTTCAGAAGCGTGTGGGTTCTGGCTTTATGGTGGTTAGTGAAAAGCCTATCCTTAGTCTAATTTAGGATATAACTGCGTTGATGATGACCCTGTAGAAAAGAGTACAGTTATTCTGGGCCCATGTCTTTGTCAGAAACCCAAAATGTGAATTCTATGACCCAATCCTTGTTCTGATGGGCGCATTCGTTCTCAATGTTGGAATACAGGTGTGAAGGCATGAATTATTAGCTCTTCCTTATCTCAGATGTCTGTGAGTGTAGGTTTTTCATCTCGGTAGCATGGTGTTAAATCTAGACGTCAAACAAAAGATTGGATTACATTGAACTGCACATAAGCACACTCAGTCTTAATGATCCGCAGACTAAATATGGCTGATCCCACTTGGAAGTGGTGCTGCTTAATCCCCTGATGGTCTCCCAGCCTCCACATGCGCCATTTCATGGATTAAATCTGGGTTCCAGGCTTTTACTGCAGGGCTCCTGCAGAGACGGCATATGTGGAGACAGGCAGTCCATCAGGGGATTAGTCTGCAGTGCTTTTAAGTGAGTCGGCCATATTTAGTCTGCGGATCTGTTAGTCTGAGGATCACCTTGTTCTGAATGCGCTCTTATATCCACAATAGCTTTATTTACTAGTTAGAAGTGAATTTAAATATATTATCAATAAATACGTATTTTATATGGGATAAAACAAGGTAAATATCATTTGGACCAAAATGATGATACTCTTAGGCTCTATTCCCATAGATTTTAGATCGAGCTATCCCCGCGGGGAGTCTCACTAGATTACTTTCAGATAATCCGACTTAAATGTCCGTCCCGCCTACTACAAGCTGTAAGGGGGTAATTAACTTTCGTGTCCGCCCGGCTGACAGCTTTTAAGCGTGAACCCCCAGGGAGTTAGGTTGATCTAAAGTAGGTCGATCTAATCTATGGAAATGGGGTGTTAGGGATAAATAGTGATATTTCCTTTGTGTTCATACTTAAAAGACACCCTGTTTATCTGGTGTAGCTATTTCTACCAACATTAGAGATGCCCTGTACTTTCTTGTTACCTTCCATTGCTAGTCACACCACAGAATGTGTCTGCTGATAATTGTAGTGTCAGCCAACTCTGCATTTCATTAACTCGTACAAAGCTTGACATTTAAAGGTAGCAGTGATGTGAAGATAAGGGTTAACAGATAGGCCCACTCTAGGAAAGTTTTTTTTTTTTTCTCTCTTTTTTTTTTCTTCGCCCTCTCTTATTAGTTCCATTAAAGAAGCATTGCCAGTTTGTTTGCATTATGGTGTGTTATAGAGGACATTTTTGCACAGTTTGAGTTGGAATATCTTCCAGGTGCACTGAAATCTTCTCAAGATAGATGTTGATGAGGTTGAGGTTGGAAAGTAAATAGCAGAAGATGAAGGTGTTAGGTTATGCTTGGTGTAGACTGAATGTTTTACCAATTCTCTTCCTGAAGAAAAGAAATTAAGAAAGTACTGATGCACGCCTCGTAAAGCATTGATAGATAGATATATTATGATATAAATGCAGATCAAAATGTTTATAAAATAATTTATTATTTTGATTATTTTGTTTGTTTATTTGATTGTTAATTTATTTTGAAATTCCTTATTGACTTGCAACAATTTCACGCTTGAAGGCTGCACAAATGGTGCTGGAAAGTAAGGAGGAAGGCAAGATTTTCAATTTTTAATGAATCGATGCTAAGTCAGCTCAGTCTGTCAGGTAAAGTTTAAGATATATACTTACTCCTTCGTTATAATGTGTTTAACAGCTTCCCCAAAAATTTGAACAGGAAATTGAGGTGTGCACATGGTAAAGGTTGAGCATCTTTTAGAAGTTACTGGATAATGTGGTCTCGTAGATCTCAGTGGATTGTAAAACATTCATTAAGTCATTTGAGCTGTAATGTGGATATACATGACTTTTCAGTTTTGGCTTGGTGTTTACACTTATACAAGAGGGGTATCATCTGGAACAGTGGTAAAAGATACCCTCCTCCCTCAAAATAATAATAATTATCGTAATAGTTAAGAAAGGAAAAAAGAAAAGAAATTGTGCTGTTTTTGGAATCAGAATGAAAACCATGATTCTTCTTACAAGAAGTACAGTTTGAAATATATACATAAAAGTAATCAAAATGCTTTGCCATTGATTAAAGTAGCCCGCTGAACACAATAATTGTACACTAAACAGTTCTGCATGATGTGAAAAGTGACTATGTAACCTGTGTGAATATGAAAAATGATATTCTCTTAGCTGGAGTAAGGACACTCGTAAGGAAACACATAAGATATGTGTAAGAAAACACATTTTTTTCAGAGCTTTGATGAAACATAAGTTTTTATATGTGGATTTCATTTGTTTATTTAAAATAAATAAATCCTTTGTTGATATTAGATATTTGTTATTCTGTAATTTAACTATTTTCTTGTTTTGTTTTCCAGAAAGAGAACTGTTACTTGCCTTATACACTCAGCCAGGTGCGGCACATAGGTTACCAACTCTGTTATGCTGTCAAGTGTAAGTAGAACAAGCCAAGAGAATTCTTAAATTCTCTTCCAAAGAAAAGACATCAATTATTATGATTTGTAAATGTATGTGTGTGTGTTTAATATTTAGCAGCTCGGGATTTAGTTGAAATTGTAATCACTTCTTTCCTTCCGTATAACTGTTTATCGTGACAATGCTATCTAAATTTATATTAAAAAAAAAAACTATTGAAGATAACTTGTTCACAAACCAAAAATATCATGTTTATTTATACGTTGTATTTGCAGTTATGCATGACAATAATATGACACATACAGACTTGAAGCCTGAAAATGTCCTGTTTGTCAACTCTGAATATGATATCAAATACAATGCCAAAAAGGTAAAGATTAAGCGTCTTTCTTTAATAATTCTCTTTATGTACTAATAATTAAGAACAAAGTGGCATATATATGAAAAAGTTTAAAAAGTTCTAATGATGTTGATGTGCATGTTTTAACTTAAAATGTGCTAATTTTGTCTTATAATTGTGCTACTGAGACTATTGATTGTGCTACTAGAGAATAACGCTTGTTAAACGTACTATTTCCCCACATCTTCTTGCAGAAGAGGGACGAGAGGACAATCAAATGTAGCGATATCCGTCTGATAGATTTTGGCTCAACGACATTTGACCACGAGCACCACAGCACGATAGTCTCCACGCGACATTACAGAGCCCCTGAGGTCATACTAGGTAATATGAGGCATAAAATTATTGTGTTGAATTTAGGTTATTGATGATTGAGATATCAAAAAAGGTCATCCCACAGAATTTAATTTAACTGACGAAGAATTATTACAGCAATTTATTTTTGAACTAGAAAATAAATAATATTATTTTTAATTGTACTTTGCAATCCTCAATTATTATTATTATTATTATTATTATTATTTATTTGTTCTGTTATTATCATTTAAATAAAGGGCAGAGGATCAATTTCCTTAAGTGATAACTTGATTTTTAACATTTAGAATATATTCCTAAATGTGTTTATAATTTTAAACTGACAAATTTTTTCTAATGAAGTATACAAGATAAAGATCTTCATGTAATATATCTGACTTAACAAAAGCCGTTCTGTGCATTATTACTTTCTGCTTTTTGTCTGTACATTTGACAGCTTTGCTGTCTTGTCATGTTATATATTTGTGCATATATATATATATATAATCCACTTCCCCTTCCAGAACTTGGCTGGTCTCAACCTTGTGATGTGTGGAGTATAGGCTGCATTCTCTTTGAGCTGTACACAGGGTTTACACTATTCCAGGTGAGATTGTGCTAGTGGTGTTTAAAGATTGTGTTAGTTATGCCTTGTGATTGTGTTAGCTGAGAAAAAGGGATTGTGCCAGGTGAATCTGGCTCTTTGTCCAGGTAGGTTTTAGTTTTATTCCATGTGAAATGCACTTGGTAAATTGATTTATTTAGGCCAGTCTGTTTAAGTGATATTGGATAATGGAGCAATAATATTTTTAGGTGTATTTTAATGAAATATTTCGATATGTGAGGCCATTGTCATGCAAAAAGATGTTCGTGTATTAAAGTAAATTAGTAAATGAATAGATAAAATGACAATTGAAATTTGCAGCTCTGTTTCATAGAATAGATCAAACTTTTGCAATATTAATTAATTTATTTATTTATTTATTTATTTATTTCTAATTCCAGACACATGACAACAGAGAGCATTTAGCAATGATGGAGAGGATACTGGGTTCCTTGCCCTACAGAATGACCAAGAAGACAAAGTAAGTGTAGGCAGCTCTTGGGACAAAGACACTGGGTTGAAAAAACAGGACTTTTTTTACACTCAAACAGAGACAGCTTTGTTTTTTTGGTTACAGATAGTTTTTTTTTCTAACTTCGGGGAATTTTTTAGCACTGTTATTACATTGTTTCGCCAGATGCCATCTTTCGGGGCGAACTGAACATTTAATTGACTAGCCAACTAACTAACAGACAGGCTGGCTAACTTTTAGACTGGCACCAATAGACAGAGGTGTTAACTGATGGACTGACAAATAGGCTAGCTAACTTTTGGACTGATTGCTTATGGGTTAAATGAACAACTGACAAAAATACAGACAAATTATTGAAAAAAAAAACTGGCAAAAATTGTTTTTCGTCTTATATTTCTGATGCTTCCTTTAACACATATTTCATAAGTGATATTTTGTTGCTACATTTACCTCTGCTTTTGTTTTGCTTTGAACTTTGTGAGCTTTTGGACAGCCAGTGTTCATTGACTGTTTGTAATGGTTACGTTTGAATGTGACCTCTGATATTTTTTGTCCGACTAATACTGCATTTGTTCTCCAGTCACATTGTTTAAAGATGTTCTATTAATTCTTCAGCCGTTAACAATGTTTGGGATCATAACAAGCTTAACGAGAAAAGGAACTTTGTGTGGCAAATGTTTTGTTTTGCTGTGTTGGGCTTATTGGTTTAAACTAGGAGATTTTAAAGAAATATTCTTTCAGACACCTATTTCAGATTCATTTGCCATGTCTTAATAGTAGATTTTAAAAATTCTGTATGAGATACTGTGCATAAACATTTTCTTGACTCTTTATCTGGATTTACAATGCTATGACTTAAGAGCAAATTGATGAAAAGGGAATTATTTCTCTACATATTTTTCCTATCTATGAGGCATGCCATGTTATCAAGATCTGTTAAAATTTGTACCTGGTGTGAAAAACGGATTAAGACTTTGAAACAGTTATATTTTTATTGTCATCGCTCAAAAAAAAATGATGAAAAATGACCAAATTCCACCATCCACTTTTAGTTAATTCTGGAGAAGTGTCATTTTAGTTATAACATTGTAAATCCTGTAATAAAAGTAAATTTTATATAATCTTTTATATAATAATAAATTGGTTAAGTTCTGAATTTGAAAGGACCTGCATGCTTGTTGGACAGGGGTTTCCCGTGAGTGGGACTGGGGGGACTGGGAAATAATAGAAGATTTTTTTTCTCTTGGGGGTAGGGAGGGGGTATGATAAAACCTGTGCACAGGGAGTAATATAAATGGGCATTGCCAAATAACTTGCATTAGAGCACACTTATATAATAAGCTGCATCAATGAAGATTTGGTTGTGCTTTTTACTATATCTGTTATGCTTTAATGACTTACAGCAGATTGAAAAAAAAAGATTGTCAATTAGTTGATGTTTAAACGGGCTTCTCTTGTGCTTTTTGCAGCTCTGAACTTTTTTTTTTTTTTTAATTATTTTTTTATTTATTTATTTTTTTTTTTTAGCGGCTAATCTGTTACATTGAATGACCTTTGGTGGTTTTGTTAACTTGATAGAAGCATAGAAGCATTCGATATTTAACAGCATAAATACATATATATGTGGAAGGTTGAAAAGGAAAATACTTAATTTTTCCGTTGTTAGTCATTTTGCACCCATAGTATGTTTCATTTGAAAAGGTTTAAGTTTCATTTATTTAATACTTCGATTACTAGCTTTTTTCCAATTCAGTGCAAGTTTTAGCCAAATTGAAAAGGCAAAGGCATGTTATAGATAGAAAGCTCTTAACATTGGGTACCTTGAAACATAATCACCCAAGTAGTTTTGTACTTTAAGCTGTTGCTAAGGCTATAGTGCTGCCACCCTGATGCTGTTGCTAAGGCTATAGTGCTGCCACCTTTAGTTGGGATCCAACAGTTTTAAGCATCTTGATTCAAGATTATTCCAGGGATTTTGGAAGGAAAGTCTTTCAGGGTGTCTTCTGTACTTTTATTCTATTTGTAGTACAAATATGTTCTGTTCACGTCGCAGGTAAATCTGTAACATTTAACAGACTATAAGTTGAGTGGACTATTTCTTCAATCAGTTTGTATGCTCTATGTTCAATTCAGACTGGACTATTTCTGGCACGGACGGTTAGAATGGGATCATAATTCTCCCGGGGGCCGTTACGTTCGACAAACATGCAGGGCCTTATATGTAAGTAAGCTGCCTCCCTCACACCCATCGTGTGTGCGTGCATGCATGCACATTCAGAGTGTGAGGTATGCATGCTCCAGTTGGATGGGAAAGATATATATATCCCAGAACCCTTAGCTAGGTCGAGCTGGGACCTGTAAGGGTCAGAGTTCTGTTTTTACATTGACAGGCCTTCTGTTTCAATCTTTGCTATCATATTAAAATTATGGTATTGAACAAATTGAATTATTGAATTTTTTTATCAGAAAAAATGGAGGGGAAATTTTGTTTAGGCTGTTTGATATTGACGTACATAGAAAATTATAAAGATTTTTTTCCTTCTTTTATCGGAAATCTTTTTTACTCTCAAGTCAATAAATATGCAAAATCATTTTTGCATTAGTTTTATTTTAATCTTTTCAAAAGTCACTCGCACGTCTGAAAAAAAGTGTAGGAGGGATTAACGGGGAAAAAAAAAACGGTATAAAGTGAGCAATTAACCTTGTCAATGGTCAAACAGAACTGCTACCTACACAGCTCCAGGTATTAATCTTGCATGACTGCTTGCTCACCCCACATTTGTTCTGTCTCTTTGAAGAAAACAGAAGTATTTCTATCATGGCCAGTTAGACTGGAATGAGAAAAGTGAACCAGGAAGATATGTGAAAAACAACTGCAAACCTCTGGGGGTAAGTGTATGTGTGTGGAATTTTTTTGCCCTGATTTTATTTCTGTTATAACTTCTCACAGTGAATATATAATATAGCACTTGAGACAATTACCTTTAACTTGAGTTAATTTTTCATTCCAAATACACCAGAGGTTTCTTGATTATGCACTGAATATTATGTTGCTTTCAGCACTCTTCTGTGGTGGCTTACATCGTAGAATTCACACCAAACTGTCACATTTATTTCTGTCCCTCATGCGGTCCAGTGTCACACTACAGTACAACAGATTGTCACATCTAACACACTCATCACTTCCACACTAAGCTTTGTCACAACAAACACAATATGTAATGTCACAGCCAACACATCCAACACTGTCACACCTTTATAGTAAGCTTTGTCACACCTAACACAATATGTGATGCCACAACCCCTCTGTCTCAAGTTTGGTTTTTATGACACTGGCAAACTGAATTCATTCACTGTCACAGCTAACACATTCACCACTGCTACACTTTCTATACCAAACACCCACCACTGTCACACACTGTACACTAAGCTTTGTCACACCTAACACATTCTCATCTATCACATAACCCGCCCACCACTGTCACACACTGTACACTAAGCTTTGTCACACCTAACACATTCTCATTTATCACATAACCCACCCACCACTGTCACACACTACACTAAGCTTTGTCACACCTAACACATTCTCATCTATCACATAACCCACCCACCACTGTCACACACTACACTAAGCTTTGTCACACCTAACACATTCTCATCTATCACATAACCCACCCACCACTGTCACACACTACACTAAGCTTTGTCACACCTAACACATTCTCATCTATCACATAACCCACCCACCACTGTCACACACTACACTAAGCTTTGTCACACCTAACACATTCTCATCTATCACATAACCCACCCACCACTGTCACACACTACACTAAGCTTTGTCACACCTAACCCATTCTCATCTATCACATAACCCACCCACCACTGTCACACACTGTACACTAAGCTTTGTCACACCTAACACATTCTCATCTATCACATGACACAATTTCTCTTTTCACCTTGAGCGGTATACTTGAACAATACAGTCTGAAATGGTACACCAAGAGGCTCTAACAAGTTAGATTCCTTCTGTTTATTTAATTAAAAGGACCATATGCAGCATGAAGATTGCATTAAGATGACTCTTCTGTGTAAAAGCCAGGCTATCAAAATGTCAGTCTCTCAAAGAACCATTACAGACTGTATTGCAAAAGTATGTGCAAACAGCAAATACCACAACATCCACTTCAGTACAACTGACATGTACAACTAATGCATGCAGCCTTTATTTTTATGACAACTTAAGTCATCAGATAACCATACAATATTATGTGCTGTGAATAATAATCTGATGTGTTGGGTTTTGAGTGAGTTTTGGTCAAAGGTATAGGTTGTTTTGAGGTCCTTGAAGTTGTAAAATGTATATTTGTCTACATGGACATGTGTAAAAGGTGAGGTTAAAAACAGAAGTAGAACTATGAAAAAACTCTGTAGTGAATAAAGCACAAATCAAGAAGCTTTTAAGCAGAGTAGAGGAGATAATCCTCTCTTCCGTGTTCTGTAAAGCTTAGTCATGAGTGCTTTATCTGATTTAAACCATGATTTGAACAGAAACAATAGGCCGCATCCTGCTTAATTCCTGGATTTGTGCATGTCATGACTGCTCAAAATAGATTGCGATGCAGCCTGTTGTTTCTACTCAAATTGTGTTAGAAACACATTTGTATAACATAGATAGGTCCTAAAGATTAAGACTGTGCATTACTAATGCAAGTCATACTACTGTGTGTCGTATTATTATCAAAATTAATAACTATGCTGGGTTATATAAATATTTTTGTCCTTGATGATTTATCCAAATGTATGGATTTAAACCTATCAGCTGCTTACTTTTCAAATTAGATTGATTAATAATCAAAAGATAAGAGTCAGTGAAACTTTGCAATAAAATTAGTAATTGCATTACATTTTAGTAAAATGTAATGCGATTTTTTTTAAAGGATGTTTTTAAAAAATGTTTGGTTTTGATTAAAAGATATCAAAATTGGAGGATAGTAGATTTTACTCCTTTTGAAGCATTTCTCTGTCCCACGCCTAGAAAATGAACTACAGTAATGCCATCTGTTGGTTCTATTTCCAGCGCTACATGGTCTGCGACTCTGACGGGGACATGAACCTCTTCAATTTAATCGAACGCATGCTGGAATATGACCCAACGTCCAGAATCACACTCAAGGAGGCGCTGGAGCACCCGTTCTTTTCGACGCTTCCTGATTCTCAGAAGCTTCCAATGGAGTCAAAAAACGAGGATCGTGAGCGCTCACATAGTCTGAGTAGATAGCCGACCTTTGACCTCAGAAATTGTGTTAGGTGTGATATTGAGACATTTTGAGGGTCGCAGCAGATCGTTGTCTTAGGAGAGAGATACAAAAATTGATATTTGTCAGATAAAATTTTGGTTTTGGATCTTTTTGGTCAAATTGGAACTTTTTTTTATGTTTTTCAATCTATAACATAACAGCCCCTGCCAGTGCCAGTAAAGAATTCTACCACCCTCGTTGCATAGACAATATGGCATGAGAAACTGCACACTCGTACTATTGATTCATTTATTTTCTGCCTTCTGTTCCTGGCTTTCAATTTCTGACACTCGATAACTTTCACCCTCGGTCTTCTGGCATGTCTTCCTTGACCGTATATTTATTATGACTATATCCATATTCCATTTTGTATTAAGTAACCAAAATAAAACAAAATAAATGTATAAAAATGACCTCTTGGATATATTGTCTCACATTTACTGCTGCCCTCTTTTGGTGCACAGTTTGGTGCTATTAGTTTTATGAAAAAACTCCACATGAAATGCATATATTAACCGTATTAAATGCATAAGGAAGACTAGTCAAACCCATTACTGTGATAGTAATATTTTAAGTATAATTTTAATTCAACAGTTGAGGGGTGTGGATTTTTCTCCAGTTTGCAGGCACTGGCAGGTAAAGATAGTATTTTAAAAAGAAAATTTGAAACCCAAAATTGGCATCAAAAAGATTGAACATGTTTTTCAATGTGTTAAAAAATTAATTTGAAAAAATTTGGTTTCAGAACTCATAAAAACAAATTTATTCTGGCTTCTCCAAAATGTCAGTTTTATTTTTAGTTTATACTTTTGTAAAAAAAAAATCTCCTTTTTTTGCGACCGAGATGAATAGACGAAAAAGTGACAACTACCAAAGGAAAAATGACAATAGCTATGCTACGAAACACCATGTCAGCGCTCACCAGAAATCCTCATGTAACCATTGTAAATTAAAGTATTGGTGATAACTCATATAAACTATTATCATAATTATATTGAATTTTTGTAACCAGTTGAACGTTGTGTTGCTAGGAGACATGTATTAACAAACCAAGGGACACATTGCAATACGAGACGAGAGGAAACTTAAGAGGAGAAAAAAATATATATATACATACACATATTCTACAGGCGCTGTATTTGTTTTACCTTTATCCTAAATTCAACAGCAGGCTATCACCCAAGGCAAATTCAGACCAGTTTTAAATTTAAACCTTAGCGAGTGTTCAATGCATCACCATCTGCTGTGGTTGAATTATTCCATGGTACCTCTGAGTAAAATGGTCAAAAGTCTCTTCTGGGACAGTCTTTTGTTGAACATCTGAACAGAGGTCTATATCCATGGTATGGTGATGCACATCTCTGGTGGTGGTGGTGCTTTATGCCAGAGTAGGTTTAATTTGGAACTGGTGTGAGTCTACCCAGAGTTACCAGCAGACAGTTCTGAAAATGTGATCTTTTGTGCAACATCCTATGAACAGAAAGTTACTTAAAGGAGTCTGTCAAAATAATACAAAAAAACAGGCCACCTGTTGATGCATTTTCTTGTCCCAGCCCCAGAAAATTAACTACACCAATGACATCTGTTGGCAGCTTTGCACACCAAAGCTGTATCTTATTGAATGAATTTGGTGTAGTTTTGGTGAGGAATTTTTTTCCTTATAGATCTGTAAAAAATATTGGACACCTTAACTGCATTTATAAGTAGTTCAGAATTATTTAAAAGGTGTGACATATCACTTCCCAACTCTTTAGTTCATTATTTGTATTGTCTGAATTAGAATTTTTTAAGACGGAGAAAAATCACATAATCATTGTACTTTTCCCTAGACATGAGGAAAAGCAAAAATTGCTTACTTAGTTTTAAGATAGAATTTATGTTGAATGCTTTTCTCTAGTCTGAAAAAGAAACTGTGTATTGTTTTTTTTTTATGCACAGCTATGTGGTTATTGTAGTCAAGTGGACCTAAATGAAATGCTCCATTTATTATTAAATTAAGTAATTATATATTGAACAAACAATTATTTACTCCAAATAAAACTTAAATGATGTTCTTAGTAGTTTTAAAGGTCTAAAACTACAGCAGTGGCATGTATTCATAAAAAACAGTCCCATAATCTTCTTGTTTATAGAATGTACTGTAATGGAATTAAGTTATTATTTAAAGGTTGCAAGTTTTAGTCCATGTGTTTTCTGTATATAGTCTGTATTAGAGCAGTGCTGCCGTAGTCGAATATCGATCTAGGTTTGCTTCTTATGGAATGCAACTAGTGCTTCGAGATATTTTAAGCACCATTTAATATAAATCCTGTGAATAGAATGGTGCTAAAACCCACCAAGCTCACTTATAAAGCTATCATTATGTTGAATATGGCTGCTGGATTTTCCTTTTGTAGTTGTGGACAAGTTGTAGGTGGCGACACCAGTCATGTTTTCCATCACTGGTAGATGGCAGCACCAACTGGTGATCTACACTCTTTGTAGATGGCAGCACCACTACTGGTAGACTGAGACTACGTGTAGATGGCAGCACCAGCTTGGTTCACCCTTTCTGTAGATGGCAGTACCACCAGGCTGCTCCCACTATGTGTAGATGGCAGCACCAGTTGGTTGCTTTCACTATTTGTAGGTGGCAGCACCAGCTGGCCAATCCCACTGGTGGTAGCCCATCTAGTTTTGTACATGTGTATGTTGTGTTCCTAAAATGAATACAATAAATTTTATTTCATGAAAGTTAATTGCTTTTTATGTCATTATATGCAATTATTGTGAAATTACAGAAATATTTGTGAAGTTTGAGGTTGTGCAAGGCCTGGTCTACAGTAACCCTTACAGTCCTAGAGAGTTAAATGATCATATAAATTACTACTTTTTGTTACTTATACGACAAAAAATGCTGAAAAAGTACATCAAGTACTGGTCGTGCATTTGACCTATTTATCCGTCTCACCAGTTCGTGAAAATACGCCGATTACTGCTGCATGTCCATAACTAATATGCATAAAATATGTCTGAAATTATGCAAATGGGAGTGGATGAAAAGAGGGTCATATATAGCACAGAAAAAAATCTGTTCAAATATCATTTTTGGTAAATACGAGACGATAACTTTTGTGCTTTCTTCAAATTATATTATTTGAAACATATGGTGGTATTTGACCGAGTTTTTTGGCAATGATATGACTTGTCAACTCGTTTCAAATGTATCTCTAAATATTGAAAACGAAAAGCTCTTCGGTGTGATTTGGATACTCGTATAAGTGTGTTGTATAACATATAAAGTAAAATACAATCAAAATAATTATTCTTCTACATATACAACGCACACGTACAATATATATGTTTCAAAAAAACCTGATGGTAACGTACCCTCTACTAGGGCCACAGTTATAATTTTGTGGACATTTTTTGCTGAAGCACAGTGCAGAGAATAGCCATCTATTTAAACCAGAGACTCATCTGTTAATATTTAATGAAAAATCAATATGTGGCCCTGGTAGAGGGTAAGGGTAACGTACGTTGTGGAGTGGGTGAATTCGAATCTTGTCTTCTCTAACACAATCCTGCGCCACCCTTTTTGTACGATTCTTTCTTTCAAGTTATATGGGATTGATTGCTAGGAACAGTCAGATCTTTTTATATAGCAAATATAATTGTTGATAAATTTTTGATGATGATTTCAAACAATGATGATTTCAAACAACCCAGTTCAGGGATGGGGGGTTCATTATGCCTTATCATGAAATCGAGGAGTTAACTCCTTGATGAAATAAAGACCAAATTCAAATAAACCGAAGCTTCCGCGCGAAAAGTGGGTTACCTGTATCGTGCTATTATGTAAATCAGGTGAGCATTTTGGTGAGCGGTGTTCAGATAGAACCAAGGTCAGTAGAAGATGGAGAGGAAAGAAACCTCATGCCACGTTGCATCGATTCCCACGCGTAAGAAGAAAATAAGGCGCTGAAAAACGACAGCAGTCTGTGGTAAGCACTGTATAGACGACGTAAAGACTACACAGCAGTTTTTTGTGGGCGATGTTTGCCCAAAATGTCGCATTTTGCACTTAAGGTATAATGAACACGGAGACATTTTACTGACCTGAACCATACTTTCTCTTAAAAGTCCAGAATCAGTTTAAATATTAGTTAATTAATTCATTTTTTTGTTATTTTTTTTAGAGGGAACGCATTTTCCAATAAAAAGGAAATGTCTACCTTCAGCTTTCCATTATCTACACGAGAGATCCGTCTTACACTAGGCAGGTATACATGTACGTATCCACACCTTTCATTACCATTCACATCTCAAAGTTATGTTTTGCCCATCCTTTTTATTCTTGAGAACATTGGTTTATCATTTTAAGTATCAAAATACACGATTGTTAAAATGGTTGTATACAGATTTCTCACCTTACACAAATGTTTCTCTGCCTAGATTAATGTATTATTTATAGTTGATCAACTTAGTTTGTTAATATAATGCCGTGTATTCTGAAATGGGTTGCTACATACGATTTTATATACTGTTTCTCAAACTGTAAGACATTTTTTTAAATGTAAATTTCTTTGTTTGATTTCAGTAACAGTTACCCACCTTTTATGATGAGACCAGAGGAGACTTGCATCAACGACATCAGATTCGTGTTGGACAGTGCCCGCACCCGTATCAAGCTAAAAAGATTGTTTCGTTTGTCGAAGTTGGTTTTCTCTTTTAAATTTGCAGGATCAATATTTAATATGGAATTGGTTGTTATATTCTGCACTGTATGAAAGGGAAATTTGTACGCTACTAGCATTTTATTCATGAAAGTCGTGATAAGAAAAGTAAAAATAAAAAACATTAGGTCTTTACTGAACGTCAACTCTGCATGCCCCTGGTTTACTGCTTAACACGTGCTATAAAGCCATGACAGTACACGTAGGATTGATCTTTGAAAAACAGCTTTAGTTGGAAAACCAGCCTAATTGTATTCTTTTTCTAAAAAATATGCAGTTTTTAAAAGAACTGTTAATTTTTCTCATATTGGCATTTTCAAATTGTGACTTTGAAGTCCTTTGCTAGTCACACTTCCTAAATATCCATGATATTTATAATGTATTATTAAAATTGATGGTGATTATGTTGTTAAGCATTATGCCAAATTGCATCAAAATTGATTAAAAAAAACTTGTCTACTGCCACTACAAATGCTCTAAAAGGAAAACTGTGTTGCTTATTTTGTAGTTTTCAAAAATTACTAATATACAGCTCAAATTGGCAAACCAGCTTGGTTGCATTATTTTTCTTTTTTGTAGTGTGTACATTTGACAGCTTTGCCGCCTTGTTGATTTATTTATTTTGAAATTATGCAACTTTTCATGAAAGTTAATTTTTCACATATCATTTTTAAGATTCAACTCTGAACTAGCTACATGTGCCTAACATCTGTGTTTCCTGTTGTGCATAAATAAAATTTGTAGTTGACTTTTCTGTTAAGCATAATGTTTTATTGCATCAAAATTAGCACAATAACCCTTGTTTATGCATCATTATCTGCTTTTTTCAGTCCATTTGACAGCTTTACTGCCTTGTTTATTTTTGATATTCTTATTGAAAATTGTCCAAAACAACAGTTCTGGTGGCAACTCTTTTCAGCTGGTAGTCGAATCTAGGAGTTTTTTTTCTGCTTAGCCATCAATTGGTCCTTCCTCACAGAAGGAATTCCCTGGCCTGATGGTGAACATTCTCTTGCTCTTGCCGTATGGGTAGTAATTGCAGACCAGACCAGGGGCACAGCCACAGTAGGCAATCCATTGTCTGTGACAGGAGGCCCCTTTTTGAATATAGGCCTCACATCTGCCCTCTGGAATATTATTATTATTATTATTATTATTCCTTTATCGATGTTCTGGCGTTGTGTTAGGGAACGTTCCCAGAACCCATTGTACCAGATGGATCGATCTAACTCTAAACTCTAAAACTAAACTTTTAGCGGACTTAACTTAGCCCAAGAACCTTAGAACTTTTGTGAAACAAGACCCTGAATGATACTACAAGTATTTTAAATACACCACCTCGTTTAGACAGGAAAGGCAGGTCAGGTAGAACCCTCTTGCTGACTATGTGGTATCTATACTCTGGTACACAGCATTCACCATCATTACAGTCATCATTGGTTTTGCAGTCACGAATAGTTACTGCACCCTACAAATGTATAACCGTATTTTTTTTTAGTCTGAACCCTTGACTATGCACCAATTTTTTTTTTTTTTTTTTTTTTTTGTGAAATATATGACTTCATGCAAGTGATTTTCCTTGTATTCATTTATTTTATTTATTTATTTATTTATTTGTTTGTTTATTTATATGGTAAAAATAAATAAACGATATATATATATATACTCACAAAAGCAGCGGCTACTACAGCCAGAAAAAACAGCAACGTCTTCATCTTGCCTTGTGAACAGTCAATATGTTTTATTGCGTGACGTAGATTAAGATTTAGTTCAGTATTCAGTAAATAAGTGTATGTGGGCTGTGTGTCCTGAACAGGTGTCACTGGGATGGGTCTACGGTGAAAACTTGGGAATTCCGTCCCATAAAAATTATTTAATATTTAAAAATGTGCGAGTCCGACACGGCCATATTGGTAGAAAAAGTTTTCAAAATTTTGGAGGGGCCCGTTTTCAAGTTTGAATAAATTTTCAAAGTGAAAGAATTAACATCTGCAGGGAATCGTTTTCTGACAAAAAATTTTCAAGTTTTTATCGTATAATGTTTACGATACTGTGACCTGTTTTGGTTTTAAAGTAGGGAGATTGATGCCAGTGTATGCTAAATATAATATGTGTAAAGGTTTTAGAATACATAAATGGTTCAACTATTTGTTTTAATTTAGTACTGGCGTGGAAGATGCAACAACGTCAGCTTTATGGATTGTTTGACAGTATCCAGGTAGACAGATTTAGAAACGTAATTCATGTAAATATGACTTCAGTGGGTGACTTACCTACTAAGCGACATGCTTAGCTAATATCCCAATATAAAAAAATATCATCAGAATTTGATCTAGCATGTTTGAGAAAGTTTGATAGGAAATGACGGGAAATATATAGACATTATCCGAGCATAACAAGAAAAACTGTACATTGGAGTGAATGGACACAAATACCGGGAAATACTTTAAGAATTGCAGTAAATCTATTCTTTAAAAAACAAAATATTTTTAAAAGTTCTAGTATTTTCCAAAATTGGGTCAGGGAAATTCACAGCATTTCCCCCCACACTTTGTTTGACCATTTTCAGAAAATTTTTTAATATTTGTTTTTTTTATCTGACAAAATCATAGCATTTTTGTTTGTTTACTAAATCTTTAAATTTCCCGTTATTTCGGAACATTTTCTGCTGTTGCATATTTGATAAAATCACGTTATTTCTGACTATTTTGTATACTGATTTCAGATTATTATTGATTTTATGTTCTGGATAGTTCTTTGTCATCGTTACACATCGCACTTTTTAATTAAAAGGATAAGTCTTTTGATCAGCAATTTTCAAAATGCACAGAATCTCCGACTTGTTTTATTTTGTGTATTGAAGCTTGATTTATATTTTAGAATACGATGTTGTTGTGGAAATTGCTATTTATGTAGAGCAAAATGGAAATTTCGCTTAAAAAATTCGAGATATATTTATTTGTAATCTTTTGTTCAGTAATAAACGCATATATATATGTCTTTATTCAAAAAGTATGATTATTTTCTTCAGTTCGACTCGATCCTTGGAGCTTCTGCTTCCATCCCATTTGGTTTCCTGCCTTCCGTCTTACCTACTGAGCTATCCGCTCAGCTCGTTTTAGTCCCTTTGCAAGGTCCTCTTGTGTCAATTCAAAGTTCTTATTTGAATTTTTTTTGCAAAAGGTAATTTGCTGGGACCTAGAACCGCCAGGATTCGAACCCACGACTTTCTGTCTCGGAGGCAAGCGTGCTATCCACTCCCCTAAGTGTTCCCACCCACCCTCCCCTGGTAGACTTTCTTCTTATACTAACCAAATGGAAAATTCTACAAGTCCCCCTGCTCAAGCATTCGGTAATTTCAAAGTACCCAAGCCAGGAATCGAACCTCGGCTTTATTTCCACTGTACCATTCAACCGTCATTAAAAAAAAAACACGAAAATATCTTGCATATATTTGAAAAAGTTTTATTAACAAGTCGACAAATTCCCATTCTTATCTTTAATCATTTTTAAAGTATCAACTTGTAAAACTACATTTTACAAATCTTTCAACCAAAAAACATTGTGAATGTTTCAATATGTAAATCTGTGAGACAAATGTATATTTCATTAGATAAATAAACTGTCAGTTAAACTACCCGTGTTGTTTGATCTTATAATATTAAACAAAGAACTTTAGAAAAGGCAACAAAACCAACGACGGATCCAGTACCCCATGCATCTACCCACAAAAAAAACTCCGACTCGCAAAATCAAATGTAAACGATATTCTGAATTGCCCAACATTTTTTAATTTGGCCCCCATTAAAACTTTCCTGGATTCGGCGTTGTTTTTGCCTCTTTGCATGCATAAGATATAACGAAATGGTTTCAGTATAAGTGCAGCGGTAAAGTACAACTGGCAAAATGAAATGAATTATAAACGTTACAATAACATGGAGAACCTATTTTTAAAGATTCTCTTAGAAAACCACGTCACGAGTACAGTGATCAAATCTTGGTAAAGTCGATGAACAGGCCATGGTTTTACTTACAACCTCAACTTTTTTTCAACTGCAAAATCTAGTAACAAAAGTTGTGCGATTCCCTGAACAAAAAGCGTTCTCAGTCGCAAGAAAAATATTTCTGAACCTGCTTGGTGATAATAATGGAATTTGCTGGTGAGAGAAAACTGTCAAAGAACAGCGTAAATTGAAAAATAAGATAATGTTCAATCCCGTGAATAGTCCATTCATCTTCATGGAGTACCAGGATTTCAGCAACAAACTCGTGTCAAAAATGTCAGTTTTATTTGACTAGAAAACATGTCATATTTTGTATTCTACGAACACGCTTTTCAGGTAAATAGGTACCATTAACCTTACATATTAAATGTTTCTTTAGTTATTCGGCCTGAGATTACAATCCACATAAAAATGAGACGGATAATAAACGGTAAATAGTAACATTTCTATTTCATACATTATTGTACACTTAATTTGGCAAAAAAAAGCTTATCAAGTTCGATACAGTTTCGCAAATGTAGACTAAAATTTATGAGACCAGTACACTTCATATGCATCACTTGTAAAACAAAATAGTCAATTATGTTCTGTATAATGACAATTTATACAACAAGCTAGCAAGTTTTTTTTAAATTCGTGATGTCATTTCCATAAAAACAAAACACGAAAAACTTATCTTGGCAGAGCGTGGCAACGTGGCATTGAAAGTAGACTTGGTTCCCATGCATGGATCGATCCATCTGGATCGGTCTAACTCCCTGGGGAGTCTCACTAAATTGCTATCAACTAACCGCCTTGGATCATTCCACAGTATTTTGTTATCCTTCTTTCTTTATCCGCATATCCTGCGTAAAATCGTACCTCTCTTGCTAAATCTGTCAAAGGAGTTTAAATTGTTGTGTAACATGAGGTGCTGCATCAACTGGAAGGTGACGCAAGCCTGAAGCCAAATGTCACATAGGGTACTAAATACTGGGGAATGGTCAAAGCCAAAATATGTTCTCCAAAATGGAACACACATAGGCTACCATCAAAAACGTAACATTGAATATCATAAAACGTTTTACTGAACCAAATAAAACTAAAATATTTGTATACTTCGTACCCAGACCGCCTGGCATCCACTCCCTGGTCACTGAAGACTGAAGAAGTGATTATTCTTTATTGGTGGAAGGTTCCATAAGATACATGGGGGAGGAGGTGGGATGAAGTAAGCGCCTTTTCTTTTCAACACTCAACATAATTTGACTAGTGAAACATGATATTAAAATTAGCAAATATAAAAATGAATAAGAAATGACTAGTGGAACCTGATATTACATAAAGCCAATATGGATAAGATTTCAAAATATGCTAAACGCTAACAAACCCCAGACCTTATCCCCCCCCCCAAATGATATGACACTATGTAGGTCACTGGCTCTCCTAATATGGTCCACTACTCGCTTTCATCTGAACAGTGTTTGTTCATTTTTTAACTAGATCGTACACTAACGCCACCTGGAGGAGAAAAGAACTGAGCATCTCTGTTGCAATCCATAACTCAGTGTATTGCTGTAGATAAATAGTGTAAGACGAATGCAATGGCCACACAATTACCTAATAATGAGTAATTTACATTGTTTTGACTGCATAATGCCACATACACTTTGATGCATGAAATTCACTGATATTAATATGGTGTATCCCCCATCAAAAATGTACCCAATTTGAATGAATAAAAACACTTTGAAACTTAGATAACTAAGATATAAAAACTGCGTTAACACGTAGGGCATTTTAGATAACATTTTGTACATATACTCCTCTGCGTCCTCATCGGTTTATACTCCATACATGATTTCCCGGCGGATGCTATCCTTGCGTTAATAACGTGACACTATACTGAGATTGACATAGGGTTGGGAAACTGTTTTTTAAAGTGATTCTGGTCCATGGAAGGCCCAATATAGACCCCCCAAAAAAATTCCCTTGGCAAATATCGCTTTCTGCTAAAATCCGAAATGGTCGCCGCTGAACGAGGTGGCCGGGCCACCTTAATGGCCATATCTTGGTAACCGAGTGCCAAAGAAACTTGTTTTAAGTTCCAGTTCCTAACGAGTTAGATATTGTCAATCATTTGCATACAACACCATAACAAGGTCGGGTGGGGTGAGGTCCGGAGTATTCCATATCTTCACGAAATGGAATGAACCGTTTTGGAAATTGCTGATGCAGGATCTAATGATAGCCCGTTCAAATACCCGTACGATAATTTAAAAGCGCCGCTTGGCGATAGATATGAGAAGTAACCAAACTCTCTCGCAAAGGTATCTGGTACCTCTTTCGTTCCCGTTGAAAATACCAAAAATGGCGAGAGAACGGAGAAAAGTAACGCGATTAAATGAAAGCGTTCTGGAGATTAACAATGCACGTGGCGGAATGTTTTAAATTTCAAGCATGCGCGTCACTAGTCTCCTCTGTGAGTTTCATTTGAATGGCGTCATCTTCGCAAGCCTCTTTCTCGGTTTTAACCTTAACCTTTGCCACATAGACTGGCAGTCCGAACGTAAGACAGGATACTCCAACCAACAGCAAACTAAACTGAAAAACAGAATAGCAAACAGCGTTCTAAATGTACAGTAGGGGTTAAGATAGGAAACTTTAATTACATGTTTTTAAAGGTTTTTTTTATTTTGTAAAGATGAAAGGTTTTAATGACAATGGAACTTAAACTCTACTGGTATAATATGGTACTGGTACTAGTAGCTCGTACCGTATGCTGGAAACTTACATCGCACTAGGACTCGCTGTTCGCGCAACTGGGTCACAAAAATGTTCCTTAAAATGTATCACAAACTTTACATTTCTAATAAACTTGGGAGTGAGTAGTTAAGAAAAAAGAGGGAGAGAGAACATTCCAATGCTGAAAAAAGCAAACGATAGATCGCATTAGATTGCGCATGGGTCGACGGCTGCAGATGGCTTTATTGAACCGGAAACACGACAGTGACTGACAGAGTTAGAAAGAAAGAGAGAAACAAACTAACTTACAAAAGGCTCTACGTCGATATGTTCAATAAGCTGGAAAAATTGAACATTAATTCATACTTACGTAGAGAGGATCGCTGTGAAGTTTGTGTTTATACCAATGAAAAAGTGGGTACTGGAGCCCACCAAACACCGCCATCAAAGCCCGCTGGACGGTGTAGATCTTGCCAAAATGTGCGATTGGAAATCTGAAACAAAATGGTTGAAGTTTTCAAACTGTCTTTATGGTATATTATCCTATACAAAACTGTTAAAAAGAACGATCTATGAACCCAAATTTTGATTTTAACCCAAATGTCTATTTTACTAACAATTATTCACCGGTTTCTATTTTCAATTCAAGAATGACCAAAAATTAGAAAAATAACTCCAAAGCGGATTTATAGATAACAATTTTCGTATTTTACCATACAGACCATAATTTCCAGATATTGATATTTTTAATGTGCTGCCGGTATACGATTTCCGATTATGAGAAGGTTCAAGAAGCTCACTTACGCGTATGCGACAAATGCCGTTTGGATTCCGAAAACTCCCGATCTAAGCACACAGTGGGACACCATGGCTACGAACTGTACCTCGAGGTTTGGTACGGCACACAGTATCCAAACTATCAGCCCCGACACACTACCGATGAGAAAGGAGGGGATATACGTCTTTGGGTCAGCTAGAGGATAAAAATGAATATTATGAGATATGGATTGTGAATAATTGGCACTCGGCACTTAGGGTTGAAGCAAGGGAAATTTCCTGGTGTGGCAGCGACATATACAGTTCGTTTGTCCATTGTAATTTTCTTCATGGGTTGCAATCGCAGTAACGTTATTATTATTATTTATATATATTTTATTATTATTATTATTAGACCGGGAGATCAGAAAAGGTAAAAAAAAAGAGAGAGAGTGAGAGAGAGAGCATGTGTGTGTTTATTTATGTGTGGGTGCCTGTGTTTATGTTTGTGCTATGTGTGCGTGCGTGCACGTGTGTGTGTGTGTGTGTGTGTGTGTGACAAAAGACAGGAGACCATGGGGAGGGAGGGGGGAATACCATGTTTGGCATCTGCCCTCTGCTGCCTGTCCACTAAATACCCCAAGGCTGCTGAGGCAGGCATACTGACCACCAGTTGTACGTACCCCACCACGTCCGTATACAGACTCACTAAAAAGAAAATTAGGTGAAAATTAAATAACAAATTTTAAAACTGGGAAGTACAAATGCCTACGGCAGTTGAAAACACTAATCGTTCATTTTAGATAAACCATGTTAGGTAGCGCGATACCGAGAATAATCAAGTATATTATAGTTATTTTAATATTTATTTATTATTTTAATTATTTAAAAATAATTAAATGTTAATTAAAACAAAACCATCAATATTCAGACTTCTTTTTATCCAGTGACATTTCTGGCATAAGAGTCCTACATTTATTTTAAAGTAATATCACACCTTGTTGGATATTCTTGTTGGACCGGAAGTCTATAATGGCATTGAAACTGCCAAAGTAAAGTGTCACCAATAAGATATTGCCAGCAAACCACAGCTCTGACCACCAAAACAAGGGTTCTTTTAAGATTGACAGGAAAGATGTCGTGTTTCCGGTCACGTGTGACGTGACAGTGACGTCACCACCTTCTTTTACGTCACCACCTTTTATATTTCTATCCTGTTGGACTTTTTCATCGGAGTTTTGTGACGGGGCGTTAATGAGATTGGTTGTGGTGTCCTCTGTATGAGCGTGATCGTTTTCTTTCACATGCGGTTCCGACCGCTCATAGAAACATTTGCACACGGCAAACGTGCACGTGTGTAATCTGGAGTCACTTTGTGATTGGATGCCATTCTTGTGGTCGTAATGTCTCGGGGGGAGGAAGAAGGTTGTTGGAACAGCAATGAGGAACGTGACTGCAGCAAAGCAGATCAAGGAAGAACGGTAATGAATCCCACTGTCATAGGCAAGCTGTAAACAAAGAAATATCGAGTTTTATAATGAGTTTTAAATAAATTTCATTTTATTTCAATTTTGTTGTATATTAACGGGATAACGACTGTTCGTTTTGACGTGAAATGTGCAACTAAACGAACATTCCTGAGGTTAACAACAATTTTCCCATATACTCCCAACAGTCAAAATTCCATTCGACATATAAAGTAAGTCGATTGCTTATTTATTTCAGTGTCAACTTTGTATTTCAATAATTATTGTAAGGGGTAGGCCTATTGAAGTTTTATGGAATACACCACGTGAGAATTTATCCTCATCAGCATCCTCATTATTATTATTATTATTATTATTATTATTATTATTATTATAATCAGCGTCATAAAACCTACCTTCACCAGTAACAAGCTAAACGCGCTCATACTGGCTGCTCCGTTGAGATAGGAGCGCAGCGTCGTCTTTCTCGTGGGGAATAACAGGGGCATGGTGATGTCAGTGGAGAGCAACATCGACCCCCCTAGGTAGTGGAAGGACGCCCCGGGAAACAGCAACCATTCTGCTCCTGAAAGACAAAACAGTGGCGGTTACGAAAATAATACAACGTGGCATTGACTCAAGAACAGTTTCATTAGCTATGTTATTGTAATAGACTTGTGAAGATCCTTTTGTCTATAGCTACTTACATTTGTCTGGTCTCACCAGCCAATATTTCGTATGCTTTCAGTCATTTTTTTACAATCAGTGTCATATTTACAATAACTTGTCAAAAGACGACGTTATGACTTTATTTATAAAATATTTTACTTCTATACATGTATGTAAAAAAAATGCTACCAGTTGTATACTTTTTACTATACACATGTATGTATGCAAAGTCGGTTACTAAGTACTATCTGTGAACATTTAGACCCCATTCCCAGAGATTAGATCGATCCAAACTAGATCGACCTAACTCCCTGGGGGTTTACGCTAAATAGCTGTCAGCCGAGCGGGCAAGAAAGTGAATTACCCCCTTACAGCTTGTAGTAGGCGGGACGGACGTTTAAGCCGGATTATCTGACAGTAATCTAGTGAGACTCCCCACAGGGATAGATCGATCTAAATGTCTGGGAATACGCCCTTAGTTTAAAATAAACTTTCAATGTCCGTGATGGGATACTTTAATGAAACCTTGCAGCTGTTTTATTACAAGAAAAAATGGTTATTTTTAAATAATAACTTTTAAGTTTCTGTAATGTTGGTAATTAACATTCATGGAGTGAGTCAATATCCACGGGTGTTATGTAGAATTGGTAGGCATGTTGTCATAATGTGCAATACTTAAACAGCGGCATGTACATGTACCTCGTTCCCATACCTAGGTCGATCTAGCAGGCTCGACCCATCTCCGAGGGGTTTCTCGCTAAATTACCTTCATCTTAAGCGGCTCTGATGTCTGGCATACCAACTAAAGCCGTTAGGGGGTAATTAACTATCGTTTAGCAGCTTCAGTAGGCGTGCCAGACATCTAAGCCGCTTTATCTGAAACCAATTTAGCGAGAAACTCCTCGGAGATGGGTCTATCCTGTTAGATCCATCTAGGTATGGAAATGGGGTTGAACAGAAACAGGGAGAACGCCGTAAGTAATTGAATAGGGAAGAGAGAAATGGAGAGAAAGAAACTGAAGGGGGATGACTACAGAATACCAAAGACCATAATTGTCGTGTGGTTTCTACCTCACCTAGAAACTAATGTGGAGATTATAATACCATCGTCACAGAATAATGGAGTAGGCAGGTTAATTTATATATATAAATTCCGTGATATTTTTACTCGATCAATGTGCCCATATGAAACTTAAATTCTTTGAGAATTCAACTATCTTCTCAAAACGATCTTGTGTCGGGTAAAATATACGGTTAAGTTAGCAAGTAGGGCAAATTTTAAATCAAACCCTGTAGGCCCTATACAGTTACATGTACACCTGTTTAATAACAAAATTTTAAAAAAATGAAATGGGTATTTTTCAATGATACCTTTTTTTTTACCAGACACCTCCACATTATCCTGAATTGAAGTAGACCATATTTGAGTCAGGTTCCCTGGCTAGCATCTTTGTTACCAGCGTTACAGGGTCACATGCACACATCTCACCCTATCAGAAACAGTGTTACAGCACTCTCATGGGCATCCTAGTCAACTAAGCCAGGGAACTGACTTAAGTTTTTGTGAAACTGGGGCCAGGCGATCCCTGGTGCGTTGGAGTGTCTTGATTAACCTAAATTGAATTAGACCGAATTTGGCCTTATAGCTAGTTAGTATAGTTTATTGCCGAATCAACTTGACATAGGTATATAACCATAAAAAGTATAACATTTGTGGTAGGTGGAGGTGGCAACCACTGTTGACATATTGGAGTACCTAAAAAAGTGGTGGATGGACAGACTTATATATCTTTTAAAAAAAATTGCAGTGTGACTTTTCTTTATAAGGCTAGTATTATATAGTAATTATATAGTATACCAATAAACAAATATTGTTGGATCAACTCAAAAACTTATAGTGTCCTCTCTAAGCTTAGAGGCAGCACACAGGAATCTAGCTAAATTTCTTAGGTCAGTAACATTATGTGTACTTAATAACTGTACTAGTTTGAAAGTAGATGGCCTTCGCCAGTAATACTGTTTGATATAAACTCTTCTAAAGTCAGAGTACAATTTACATATCAAAATAAAATGATACTCATCTTCCACAACATTATCATTTGAGCAATACTGACAAATTCTTTGGTTACGAGGGATATTACTATATCTACCCTTCTCTATTCTTAAAGAATGGGATGAAGTTCTAAATTTACAAATTAA